GTGGTGCATATATCTTTTCAAATTAGTTTTTGTTTTCTTCAGATGAATACCTGAAAATGGAATTGCTGATCATATGGCAGCTTTATTTTCAATTTTTTTGAGGAATCTCCATATTCTTTTCCACAGTGGCTGCACTAATTTATAATCCCACTGACAGTACACGAGGATTCCCTTTTCTCCACATCCTCTCTAACACTTGTTTGTTGATTTATTGACGATAGCCATTCTGATAAGTATGAGTTGATGTTTCATTGTGGCTTTGATTTGTATTTCCCTGGTGATTAGTGATGGTGAATGTCTTTTCATATGTCTATTGGCCATCTGTATGTCCTATTTGGAGAAATGTTTATTAAGGTGTTCTGCCCAGTTTTTAATCTGATGGTTGTTTTTTTGGTGTTAAATTGTGTGAGTTCCTTATATATTTTGGATATTAACCTTTTTCTTATTGAATGTATTATTTGGGAAGATCTCCCATTCAGTAGGTTGTCTTTTTGATGGTTTCTTTGGCTGTGCAAAAACTCTTTAGTTTGATGTAGTCCCATTTGTTTATTTTTAATTTTGTTTCCCTTGCCTGAGGAGACATATCCAAAAAAAATTTGCTAAAAGTGATGTCAAAAAGTTTATTGCTTATGTCTTCTAGAAGTTTTATTGTTTTAGGTCTGACATTTAAGTCTTTAATCCATTTTGAGTTAATTTTTGTATATGGTATAAGAAAGTGGTCCAATTTCATTTTTTTACATGTATCTGTCCAGTGTTCCCAGCACCATTTGTTGAAGAGAGTGTCTTTACTACATTGTATAGTCTTGCCTCCTTGTCATGATTGACTACAGGTGTGGGTTTATTTCTGGACTGTATTCTATTCCATTGATTTTTGTGTCTGTTTTTATGCTAGTACCATGCTGGGGTGTTTTTTTAAGAATTTTTTTTTTAATTGGGGAATCGGGGAAGGGGAATAGACAAGTTGCTGTCCTTTTGTTCTTCAGTCTAGTTGTGGAGGACGTCGCTTCACTGGCCCATGTTGGTGTTATCATTGCGCTCTTCGCGGGTGAGACAGATTGGTCGCCGGCCACTGGACGGCTGCTCACGGCGGCTCTTGGCAGCTCACACCAGCTGCTGGACACTCACACTGGCTGCCAGCCACTCACGGTAGTTTTACCGCAGCCCACTGCAGTTTCACTGCAGCCTACGCCGTCGCCGGCGACTCATGGCAGCCCAGCTCCAGGTTGAGCTGTTGTTCAGCATTTTAGCTGTAGGGGGTGCAGCGTCACTGGCCCTCATGTGGGATCTGAACCGGTGCCCTGCTACTCAGAGCTGGCGTCCCAAGCCAACTCTTAACTAATGCACCATTCGGCTGGCCCAGTACCATGCTGTTTTGATTACTATAGCCTTGTAGTATAGTTTGTTATGTGGTAGCATGATACATCCAACTTTGTTCTTCTCAAGATTTCTTTGGCTTTTGAGGTCTTTTGTAGAAATTTTAAGTTTATTTGTTCTAGTTCTGTGTAAAATGCCATTTTGATAGGGATTGCATTGAATCTGTAGATTGCTTTGCATGTTATGGACATTTAAACTATATTAATTCTACCTACCCATGAGCAAGGTATATCCTTCCATTTATTTGTGTGTTCTTTAATTTTTCTTCAGTGTCTTACAGTTTTCTGAGTACAGATCATTTACCTCTTTGGTTAAATTTATTCCTAGGTATTTTATTCTTTTTGATGCAATTGTAAATGGGATTGTTTTCTTAATTTCTTTTTCTGATAGTTCATTATTGGTATATAAAAATGCAACCAATTTCTGAACATTAATTTTGTTTCCTGCTACTTGACTGAATTCATTTATTAGTTCTGAAAGTTTTTTGGTGGAATCTTTAGTGTTCTGTATATATAGTATTCTGTCATCTGCATCTAATGACAGTTTTATTTCTCCTTTTCCAATTTGAATGCCTTTTATTTGTTCTCTGATTGCTGTGGTTAGGATTTCCAATACTATGTTGAATGAAAGTGGTGAAAGTGGACATCCTTATCTTGTTCCTTATCTGAAAGAAAAAGCTTAGTCTTTCACCATTATGATGTTAGCTGTGGGTTTGCCATATATGGCCTTTATTATGTTGAACTATGTTCCTTCTATCCCTACTTTGTGGAGTTTTTATCATAGATGGATGTTGGATTTTGTCAAATGCTTTTTCTGCATCTATTGATATGATCATCTGATTTTTATCCTTCATTTTGTTTATATAGTGTATCACGTTAATTGATTTGCTGATATTGAACCAGACTTGCATCTTGGGAATAAATCCTACTTGATATGGTGTATGTATGATCTTTTTAATGTATTGCTAAATTTGGTTTGCAAATATTTTGTTGAGGATTTTTGTATCTATGTTCATCAGGGTGATTGGCCTATAATTTCCTTTTTTTGTAGTGTCTTTGTCTGGTATTGGTATCAGAGTAATGCTGGCCTCGTAAAATGAATTTGGGAGCCTTCCCTTCTCTTAAATTTTTTGGAATAGTTTGAGAAGGATAAGTGTTAATTTTTCTTTGAATGTTTGGTAAAGGTCACCTGTGAAGTCATCTGGTCCAGGACTTTTGTTTGTTGGGAGTTTTTTATTATTGATTCAATTTCATTAGTTGCCATTGGTCTGTTCAGATTTTCTGTTTCTTCCTGATTCAGTCTTGGAAGATTGTATGTTTCTAGGAATTTATCCATTCCAGGTTGTTCAGTTTATTCACATGTCATTGTTTTTAGTATTATAATCCTTTGTATCGCTCTGAGTCAGTTGTCACTTCTCGTCTTTCATTTCTGATTTTATTTAGTTGGGTCCTCTTTCTTTTTTTCTTGATGAGGCTGGTTAAAGGTTTATCAATTTTGTTTATCTTTTCAAAGAACCAGCTCTTGGTTTCATTGATCTTTTCTATTGTATTTTTAGTCTCTATTTCATTTATTTCTGCTCTGATATTTATCATTTCATTCCTTCTACTTACTTTGGGCTTTGTTCTTTTTCTAGTTCTTTTAGGTGTAAAGTTAAATTGTTCATTTGAGATTTTTCTTGTTTCTTGAGGTAGGCCTGTATTGCTATGAATTTCCCTCTTAGAACTGTTTTGGCTGTGTCCCATATATTTTTGGGTCATTGTGTTTTCATTTTCATTTGTCTCAAGGCATCTTTTGATTTGCTCTTGATCTCATTGTTAACCCATTCATTGTTCAGTGTCATGTTATTCAGCCCCCAGGTGTTTGTGTGTTTTTCAGTTTTTTTCTTGTAATTGATTTCTAGTTCAATACCACTGTGATCAGAGAAGATGCTTGATATGATTTCAGTCTCCTTAAATTTATTGAGACTTGTTTTGTTGCTGAACAGATAGTCTGTCCTGGAAAATGTCCCATGTGCACTTGAAAAGAATGTATATTCTGCTGCTTTGGGGTGAAGTGTTCAAAAAAGTATCAATTAAATACATCTGGTCTAATGTGTTATTTAAGGCCACTGTCTCTTTATTGATTTCACTTTGTCTGTGTTTTGATTTGAAGTATTTTGTAAGCAGCATATAGGTGGGCCATGTTTTTTAATCCATTCAGCCACCCTATGTCTTTTTATTGGAGCACTTAATCCATTTACATCTGAAGTAATTATTGATATGTATGTATTTATTGCTATTTTGTTCATTGTTTTTTTGTTGTTTTTATAGTTCTCTGCTCCTTCTTCTCTTGATCTTTTCCCTTGTGATTTACTGTTTTTCTTTAGTATTTTGTTTGGGTTCCTTTCTTTGTTCTTTGTATATCTTGTGTTGGGTTTTGGTTTGTGGCTACCGTGAGGTTTATGTATATCATTCTGTATCTATTTTAAGCTGATGGGCATTTAAGTTCAAATGTATTCTGTACGGACAACATTTTTACTCCTCCCCTCCACACTTTATGTTTTTGATTTCATGTTTTAGATCATTTTGTGTTGTGTATCTCCTAACTACTTACTGTAATTTGAGTTTGATACTTTTTTCTTTCCTTTGTAGCAGCTTTTTTGGGGGTGGGGATTAGGAGGTTCACTGACTGTGGATGGCAATGAAAAATTTTATTAAAAGGCATATTGCTTATATAGAAAGTAAGTTCCTCTTTTACCAGGATGTAGCAGCTTTTTAAATGTCTCATTTACTGTATTAAATATTTTGCTTTACCTTTGAGATTTTTCCCTTTCTAATATTTTCTTATTTTTGGTTATGGCCTTTCCTTTTCTGTTTAATGAAAACCCTTTAACATTTCTTGTAAAACTGGCTTAATGGTGATGAACTTCTTTAGTGTTTGCTTGTCTGGAAAACTTTTTATTTATCTTTCAATTGTGAATGATAACCTTGCTGGGTAAATTATTCTAGGTTGCCAGTTCCTTTCTTTCAGTATTTTAAAAATGTCCTGCTATTCCCTTCTGGTCTATAAAGTTGCTGCTGAGAAATCAGCTAATAGCCTTATGGGGTTTCCTTTGTATGTAACTCATTTTTCTCTTGATTCTTTCAAGAGTGTCTGTTTAACTTTTGCCATTTTAATTGCAGTGTTTTGGTGTGGTCTCTTTGGTTTCATCTTGTTTGGAACTTTCTATACCTCATGGACCTGGATGACTGTTTCCTTTCCCAGGTTAGGAAAGTTTCCAGCCATTATTTCTTCAAAGTTTCTGTCCTTCCTCTCTTTTCTTTCTGAACATTTGAGTACTTAATGTTATCCTCAAGGTCCCTTAAACTATTCCTCATTTTAAATAATTTTTTCTTTTTGCTGTTCTGATTTACACTAGTCTGGCTTCTGGGTTGCTGATCAGTTCTTCTTTTGGGTTGTTGGAAAAGTCATGACGTATTTTTCTGTTTTTCATTGCAAAAATGCATCATGACTTCTCTGACAACCCAATATACTAGCTAATCTGCTGTTGATTCCTTCTCATGTTTTTCATTTCCGTTATTCTTTATCTCTGATTGGTTCTTTATTATACTTTCCAACTTTTTGTTGAAGTTCTCCCTAAGCTCCTCCATTCTACTCTCAAATTTGGTGAGCATCCTTATGACTGTTTCTTTGAAAATTTTATCGGGCAAATTACTTATTTTCATTTCCTTAGTTCCCCCCCCCCGCCCCCCAGGGATTTTGTTTGTTCCTTCATTTGACAGGTATTCTTTTCATTTTGTTTGACTTTTATGTTTGTTGATATGAATTAAACAAAATAACTCGCTAGTCTTGAAACAGTGGCTTTATGCAGTAGAGACCTCTGTGTAGGCTATATGTGCCAGTGGTTTTGGCAGGCTGGCAGGAGCCGAGTGGGTGTCTAAGGCATCGAGGCACCAGCCTGCCAAGCTGGAGTGGTTCCAGGTGGGGAGGCCAGGTGTGTGTAGTAATGTCCTGTTGATTGTGCTTGCTCCTTTGTTCAGGGCCGAAATGGGCTTGGGTGATGTGTCTGGGAACACACTGCAGTGACCTAGCAGGAGGCCAGAGCACCTGAATAGAGCCCCCACCCTATTGAAGTGGAGCAGGACGTAAATAATGGTGCTCATAGGTTCCTCTGGCCAGGAGAGTTCCCGCAGCTCCTGGAGGGTCCTGCAGCTTCCTAGCCTTCTCTATTCCATCTTTCTCTTATTTGTTGTTCAGATGCTGTTCATTGAGTCCTCAGTTGTCTCATAGGAAGAACTGTTTTCTATGTACATGTAATGATTGACTTTGTTCATGGGAAGGGGTGAGTTCAGTGTTCTCCTATGCTGCCACCATCTTGGATCTCTAGATTCAGGCACCTTTACATGTTTAATTGGGAAGGAAGGACTGAAAGTTCATGTAGGGCCCTGGAGGAAGTGTAGGGTGGGCTTAGCCTGGAGGAGGGCTCACCGGTTGAGGTCCAAGGAAGGGAGGAAGGAATGAATCTACAGGGTGTGATGGCAGGGGACCTGTCTCCTGTTTCCCTGTGAGTGGGCAGTCAGGCTGTCCTTTGCAGACAAGGGGAGGACATCAGGAATGAGGGGTTCTCAGTAACCCCGCAGGTCAAGGGACAGGAGCCAGGACCATTCCACTTAGAACTCCTAGCTCCCTCTATCCCTTCCTGAAGACTCCAGATTCAACTTGCCCAGGTCTGACCAGGAGCCTGGGACATATTGGCCAGAAGTGATGACTGGACAGGAAAGGTCTGGCATGAAAGGTCAAATCCATTTTCCTGAAGGGCCTGCCAAAGGCTGGAGAGGAGGTTGCTGGGGCATTTTTAGTAGGGCAAAGAACCCCACCCCTAATTCAGCTGTTCCAGGTTTCATTCATACTCCCTTGTGCCCAGGGAGCTGATCTCTGCCCTAGGAAGGGAAGCACTTGGCAGATTCTCAGTAGGGGGAAAAGAGGGGTGAATCCATCACAGTCCTGGAGGTTAATATGGGGGGCCCAATCTGGGTTCCAACATTTGGGAGGGGTTTCTCTTCCTTTCCTCCAAGAGGATGCCATAATTACTCAGACCCCAATAATTCTACCCAGAAGACCTGTTTGGAGAAGAGGCACATCCCTTGGCTCCCAGAGAGCGCGGCATTTATTTAATGCAGGCTGGTGCTAGGGTTGAGCTTCTGCCGCTGCCCTTCCCCCTTAAGACACACCCAAGACCACACAGACTCTTAAAACAAAGATGGGAGTTGTAGACCTGCCCTGACTCCAATGTGGGCAGAGGTCCAAGGACTGAAAGACAGGAAGAGACTTCTGTGGTTCCAGGGGCTGTATTTGGGTTTTCAGCCCAGGTACCCCACTGTGCCAGGAATGGGGTGGGGCCTCTTTGGCCAGGTCCAAAGCTTTGAGAAGTCCAAGCCAAACCTCCGCCATGGGGGGAAGGCATCATCTCCCAGCTGAAGGCCTGTCCGTCTCTCTGTAGGTCAGGGAGCTCAGAAAGCCTCCATGTGGCTATGAGGGGACCTGCTAGTCCCATCGTCCATTCCTACATCGGGCCAGGAACCTTCCCCAAATCATGGGGACAAGCCTGAATTCTAAACCTAGCAAGCTCTGTTCACACCCTCCCACTGACAATTCAGAGATGACATGTGTCAACATGGCAGCTTTAATCGCTGGCCAAGGCTCCTCAGGCTCCCTCCATTGCAGGCCTCCTTGGCCACACACCCACCCTTGACCATACCCAGAACACTTTCCCAGGTGGCCAGTGATGTGAGAACTGAGGTTGTATCAGTCTGTGGATCTCCTGGGCCTCTGGACTCTCTGCCCCAGAGGTCTGCTGGACACCTGGGCATGCTCTTCTGGCCATCTCCAGCTGCTCCTAGGCGACATGGCTCAGGCCTTCTCCTGGGGCAGGGTCAGCAGTAGTGGGAGGCTGAGAGGCTGGTCGGGAGGAGTATCTCAGCAGGCTTTCCTCCTGAGCTGAACCTCCTTGTGCTTTGAGACTGACGTGAGGAGCAGAGCTGCTGGGGGCAGAGGCCTAGCATAGGCCCTTGAGACAGGAGAAATCAGCTGCCTCACAGCAGACAGGACAGTCATACATAGGCATCCACAGCCTTCATTGCCATGGGGGCAGGGCATGGCCCAGCGACCCGTCAGAGCTTCCAGACCAGGATGGGAGGGAGGGTTTCAGAGGAGGACCAGATCCCCTATTTCCCAGAAGGAGCCCCAGGCCTGCAGGGGCATCTGAGAGGCGAGAGTCCTGGCCCTACTGGGCCTCCGGGGAGAGGAGTGCCCCCTCCAAGATAGTCCGTGGTGGACAAGGGATTGGAGCCGATGAGGAGACTGTGGAGCCAGCTCCCAGAGCACTCCGAGTCCAGACACGCTTCTGCCAGCTCTCCTGGGTTCCCTGGTCTCCATGTTAGGCACAGCCTGGGAAGACAGGTCTTCAGCTAACGGCCACTTTGGTCTGTGAGAGTCTTGGCATGGCTGCCAATCCCTCGGGGGTCCACAGGGGTGGTGGCGCTGTTGGCATACGTGTCATAACTGCTGTCTGAACATACAGAGAGCTCATCGGAGACTTCTATGCCATCGCTGATCTCTGTTGGGCCAGAGGGAGGGAGAATGTTAGTAGGGGCAGGAAACGTGTTGACAAGGATATAGCTGGCATAAGCCAGGGAAAGGGTGCCCTGCAGTGACGCAGGTACTTGGAGGCTGAGGAAACCACTGGGCTCCGGTTTGGTATTGAAGTTGGTATTCCAGGCCCTCCTTGGTGTCAAGTCTCCCCTGGAACTCCACCTTCTAGCCACAGAAAACCATCTGCATCCTCCTGAGCTTGGCACACAGTATTTACTTTCCTCAGGGCCTTTGCCATCCTGGTCCCTCTCTTGGGAGTGACCTCCCCATCAACACCTCCTTTTCTTAAAATCTGGCTGACCTCTTATCATCTCTTACTGCAGCCTCCTGAAAGCCTCCCCTGGTTCCCCCCAGGCTGGGATGGGGCCTCCTCATGGCCACTGCAGACCCTGCCCCATCACATCCTATACTGTCCCTGTCTGTGGCCCCACCATCTGGAGCACTTCAAGGATAGGGGCAAGGTCTGGGCATGTATGTCCCCAGTACCTGGCTCAGGAAAGGTCAGCTGAGTGGAGCTGAGCCCACCCTGAGGGGATGCAGGGTGGCTTGATGCGGTTGAGGGTCTCTGGAGAGGACCCCTCAACCTGGAGCGGGCATGGGGTGAAGACTGTGGCTGACTCCTTAGAGCCCGAGGTGCTCAGTGAATGGCCTTTGGTGCTGTTGGGGGGTGGTTCTGGATGGGCAGAACCTGCCAGACCTAGGGGCTGAGCTCCTGCCTTCCATTCATTCCACCTGCCCCTTCTGACTTCTCTGGGCTACGCACAGTGAAGGGGCCTGGGGATCCTGGGTGTCGTGGACTGACCTCCCCCTTCCAGGAGTTCCCCAGTGTGGCCAGAGGGCTGTGGGACTTGGGGAGGCACTCGACCAAGCTTCAGTGCTCAGGGGAGGCTCCCTGGAGGAGGGTTTTCGAGTAAAGGTGGGAGGAAGGTAAGTGCCCCACAGGCAAGAATCTCTATCCTAAGCACCTAAAACAGCACCTGGTATTCATCTCTTGGAGGAATAAGTGGAGGAGTGAATGAGTAGATGTTTACACTATCCTTGATCCTTGGAGCCAGCCCCACCAAAACCATAGTCACCCGCTTTGGGCTTTTCATGCAGTGTTTACCAAGCATGCCTCTGGGCCAGGCATGGGCTAACCCTGACAAGTACCGTGTAAGGGGGTGCTATCCCATTACAGATGAGGAGTCTGATGCTGAGGGAGGTTAGACAGTGTATTCTGGTTCCCACAGCTAGTTAGGGATAGAACTGGGATTTGAATCCAAGTCCATCTGGCTCCTAAATACTCTCTCTCCTTTGTTTCCATGCCCACATCTATCACTGGAATTACTGAGATGCATACTGGGAGAATGCCGTGTGAACGTCTGTAAGCCAAGGGGAAAGGACTGGACCAGATCCTTTCCTCACATCCCGGCTGATACCTTGATCTTGGACTTCCCAGACTCCAGAACTATGAGATAGTAAATTTCTGTTGTTTAAGCCACACACTTACTGATACTTTGTTATAGCCCTACTGCAAACGTGGTCAAAGACGAATCTGCTCACAACCCTCCTCTGCTTTCAGAATGAAGCCCGAGGCCCCCCTCCCCACCACAAGATGTATGGAATGATATCTGGTTCTTGGTACCTTGCAAGCAGTGTTCCCTCATTGCCTCTGAAAACATGCTGCTCTGCCTGGAATGCCTTTCCTTCCGTCTGCACCCAGCCCTGACCTCAAACCCATCACCCAGGCCTGTCCTACCCATCGTTTCCATTTCAGCTATGTCACCTCCTTGCAAAGTGGGTTCCAGAATTTTCCTCATTGCCCCAGGGAGCTCTGACCACTCTCTCCTTCTTTGTACCCCACTCTGGTTCAGTACCCCCATCTGTTCAAGCTCTAGTGACATCCAGTTTTCCATGTATTTGCTTATATAGCTGCCTCCTCCATCAGGCTGGGGCTGGCAACAACGGGTGAAATCAGTATCTGGGGTCCCTGTTTGAACAAGGCAAAGGGGGATGGGCCTTCAAAGCAGACTCCTCCCTTCACGCCACCCCTGCCCCCCATCCAGAGAGCTGACAGGGAGCTGCAGGATCTGGACTTGATGACTGCATGTGCAGGGTGTGCCTCCGTGTGTATGTGTGTGGGTGTCTGTATATCCGCGCCGTGTCCCTGCCTGTGTGTGCTGTGTGCACACATCCACGTGCACGAGTGGGGTGGGTGCAGAGCACTAAGCCCGTGCCTGTCTCGGCCGGTGTGTGGCTACGTACCTGCGAAGATGAGCTTCTCCTTCATTATGCTGACATCCCGGCTGGCCCGGCGCACCGCTGCACTCAGCATGATCTGCTCAGGGTTGTAGCTTCGTATGCCACCCAGGCGCCACCTGCAGAGATGGCCCCGTGAGCATTGGGTCCTTCCCCACCCTTCCCTGGAGCAGGGACCTGCCACTTCCAGAGCCTCTCTGGATTTGGCCTGAGAGACCAGTAGGACTCTTGTCTGACTATACAGATGGGAAGATTGAGGCCCAGCGATGGGCAGAGCTGGGGCTTGAATCAGACAGAGCCCGCTAACTCTCAGCCAGGGTTCTCCTGCCTCCATCTTACGTCCAGAACCCAAGTCAACTCCCCTTGCCCAGGAAGATGTTTTGGGGTTGGTTAGTTCTGTCTCAGGTGCCCCCAGTTACGTACCTGACTCTCTTTGGTTGGGATAAATTTGGGGTGGGGGATGGCTTAGCAGGCATGACTGATGACCTGCCCTGGGTACACACCAATCTTGGGGAGTCCCAGCTCATGTCTCCTACAGCTCCACCATCAAGACCAGGCTGAGCAGAGCCAGAGGAAAATCCCAGAGAGGAAGTGAAGGAAAGCATGGAGGTGAGGGGAGATGGCAGGGGGCTTGGCTCTGAACTGGTCTTCACAGATTCAGAGGCAAGAGCATTACAGTGACTTGGGGTGGGGTCTGCTGCTACTCTGTACCTACAACCCTAGAAGAGTGGGGTGCATACTCCCTAACAAGAGGCACGCTGGAGAGTTAATCCCTCTGATGGCCGAGGCAGGGGCCAGGCCAGAGGGTGGGGGTTAAGGTGTAAAATTAAGTGGGCTGAGAGGTGGGGCTGCACAGGGCATGCAGAAGCCAGGCAGAGCCAGGCACTAGTTTTCCTGTTGTAGTTCCTCTGAATTAGCCCCAAATCCCTGGCTCCTGAACTTGAAACTTTTTCTGTGACCTGGACAGAAGGATTCACTGGACCACTTCTCCCGCCGCCCCAATCCAACTCCCACCAAGAGAAGCAGGGGTCAGCTTGGAAACAAGAACCCAACTCCCCAGGGCCCTGAGCCCTGCTGGGTTGGATGGAGGGAGCCCAGACTCCACAAGAAATCACTTGTTTCCAGATGGGGTCAGCACAGCAGAAATTGACAGACAGATGGACAGGCAGATGGGTGGCCGAACACCGCAGACAGACAAGGGGAAAGCAGGCAGAGGGGAAGGCAGCCTGCTTTTTGGCTGGGCTGGTGCCCTACATGTCCTTGAGGGCAGCGATTCGGTCTCTTATTCACCACAGTGTCCCTGACACCCAACCTCAGTACCTGCTTGTTGTCCCCTAAATACCTGGTGAGTGAACGAGTGGAAGGATGAGGCCCACAGGGAAATGATCTTCTCCCCCAGGCTCCCCCTCTCCATCAGGCCTCTCGACCTCCAGGAAGACAGCGATACCGCCCTGGTTGTATGTTGAGCAGGCCCAGCATGTCTGTGCCAGCATCTGGGCCGTCACGGGGTGGCCTCCCCAGCATATGGGGCTGTGTGTGCCAAGGCCTGACTCCTTGCTGCAGGCGCAGCACAGCACCCACCAGCAATGTGGATGTCTGCCGGCTGAGAGAACAGGGGAAGGACTGGGGAAGATACCCTTCACTGAGATCAGTCCCACAGCCATGGAGCACTGAGTTTCTCCTAGAAGCAGGTCAGGGAAGCCCCCTGACCCAGGAGGGTCCCAAGGCACTTGACCAAGGGGGACGTGCATCCCTGAGACCCAGGTCTCATCTTGGAAATTAACATTAACCCCAGGAGGAAAGTGTCAGGCCAGGGTCTCTACAGCCAGGCACATCTAGGACATTGTGAGACCCTCCCTAGGGACAAGTGGGGGAGGCTGTGTGTATGGG